GTCACGGCTAGCACTGTAATGTCCTAGTCACGGCTAGCACTGTAATGTCCTAGTCACGGCTAGCACTGTAATGTCTTAGTCACGGCTAGCACTGTAATGTCTTAGTCACGGCTAGCACTGTAATGTCTTAGTCACGGCTAGCACTGTAATGTCTTAGTCACGGCTATCGCTGTAATGTCTTAGTCACGGCTAGCACTGTAATGTCTTAGTCACGGCTAGCACTGTAATGTCTTAGTCACGGCTATCACTGTAATGTCTTAGTCACGGCTAGCACTGTAATGTCTTAGTCACGGCTAGCACTGTAATGTCTTAGTCACGGCTAGCACTGTAATGTCTTAGTCACGGCTAGCACTGTAATGTCTTAGTCACGGCTAGCACTGTAATGTCTTAGTCACGGCTAGCACTGTAATGTCTCAGTCACGGCTATCGCTGTAATGTCCTAGTCACGGCTAGCACTGTAATGTCTTAGTCACGGCTATCACTGTAATGTCTTAGTCACGGCTAGCACTGTAATGTCTTAGTCACGGCTAGCACTGTAAAGTCTTAGTCACGGCTAGCACTGTAATGTCTTAGTCACGGCTAGCACTGTAATGTCTTAGTCACGGCTATCACTGTAATGTCTTAGTCACGGCTAGCACTGTAATGTCTCAGTCACGGCTAGCACTGTAATGTCTTAGTCACGGCTAGCACTGTAATGTCTTAGTCACGGCTAGCACTGTAATGTCTTAGTCACGGCTATCGCTGTAATGTCTTAGTCACGGCTAGCACTGTAATGTCTTAGTCACGGCTAGCACTGTAATGTCTTAGTCACGGCTAGCACTGTAATGTCTTAGTCACGGCTAGCACTGTAATGTCTCAGTCACGGCTATCGCTGTAATGTCCTAGTCACGGCTAGCACTGTAATGTCTTAGTCACGGCTAGCACTTTAATGTCCTAGTCACGGCTATCACTGTAATGTCCTAGTCACGGCTAGCACTGTAATGTCTTAGTCACGGCTATCACTGTAATGTCTTAGTCACGGCTAGCACTGTAATGTCTTACTCACGGCTAGCACTGTAATGTCTTAGTCACGGCTATCACTGTATTGTCTTAGTCACGGCTAGCACTGTAATGTCTTAGTCACGGCTAGCATTGTAATGTCTTAGTCACGGCTAGCACTGTAATGTCTTACTCACGGCTATCACTGTAATGTCCTAGTCACGGCTAGCACTGTAATGTCTTAGTCACGGCTAGCACTGTAATGTCTTAGTAACGGCTAGCACTGTAATGTCTTAGTCACGGCTAGCACTGTAATGTCTTAGTGACGGCTAGCACTGTAATGTCTTAGTCAGGGCTAGCACTGTATTGTCTTAGTCACGGCTAGCACTGTAATGTCCTAGTCACGGCTAGCACTGTAATGTCTTAGTCACGGCTAGCACTGTAATGTCTCAGTCACGGCTATCGCTGTAATGTCCTAGTCACGGCTAGCACTGTAATGTCTTAGTCACGGCTATCACTGTAATGTCTTAGTCACGGCTAGCACTGTAATGTCTTAGTCACGGCTATCACTGTAATGTCTTAGTCACGGCTAGCACTGTAATGTCTTAGTCACGGCTAGCACTGTAATGTCTTAGTCACGGCTAGCACTGTAATGTCTTAGTCACGGCTAGCACTGTAATGTCTTAGTCACGGCTAGCACTGTAATGTCCTAGTCACGGCTAGCACTGTAATGTCTTAGTCACGGCTAGCACTGTAATGTCTTAGTCATGGCTAGCACTGTAATGTCTCAGTCACGGCTAGCACTGTAATGTCTCAGTCACGGCTAGCACTGTAATGTCTTAGTCACGGCTAGCACTGTAATGTCCTAGTCACGGCTAGCACTGTAATGTCCTAGTCACGGCTAGCACTGTAATGTCCTAGTCACGGCTAGCACTGTAATGTCTTAGTCACGGCTAGCACTGTAATGTCTTAGTCACGGCTAGCACTGTAATGTCTCAGTCACGGCTAGCACTGTAATGTCCTAGTCACGGCTAGCACTGTAATGTCTTAGTCACGGCTAGCACTGTAATGTCTTAGTCACGGCTAGCACTGTAATGTCTTAGTCACGGCTAGCACTGTAATGTCTCAGTCACGGCTAGCACTGTAATGTCCTAGTCACGGCTAGCACTGTAATGTCTTAGTCACGGCTAGCACTGTAATGTCTTAGTCACGGCTAGCACTGTAATGTCCTAGTCACGGCTAGCACTGTAATGTCCTAGTCACGGCTAGCACTGCAATGTCCTAGTCACGGCTATCACTGCAATGTCTTAGTCACGGCTAGCACTGCAATGTCTTAGTCACGGCTAGCACTGTAATGTCCTAGTCACGGCTAGCACTGTAATGTCTTAGTCACGGCTAGCACTGTAATGTCTTAGTCACGGCTAGCACTGTAATGTCTTAGTCACGGCTAGCACTGTAATGTCTTAGTCACGGCTATCACTGTAATGTCTTAGTCACGGCTAGCACTGTAATGTCTTAGTCACGGCTATCACTGTAATGTCTTAGTCACGGCTATCACTGTAATGTCTTAGTAACGGCTAGCACTGCAATGTCTTAGTCACGGCTAGCACTGTAATGTCCTAGTCACGGCTAGCACTGTAATGTCTTAGTCACGGCTAGCACTGTAATGTCTTAGTCACGGCTAGCACTGTAATGTCTTAGTCACGGCTAGCACTGTAATGTCTTAGTCACGGCTATCACTGTAATGTCTTAGTCACGGCTAGCACTGTAATGTCTTAGTCACGGCTATCACTGTAATGTCTTAGTCACGGCTATCACTGTAATGTCTTAGTAACGGCTAGCACTGTAATGTCTTAGTCACGGCTAGCACTGTAATGTCTTAGTCACGGCTATCACTGTAATGTCTTAGTCGCGGCTAGCACTGTAATGTCTTAGTCACGGCTAGCACTGTAATGTCTTAGTCACGGCTAGCACTGTAATGTCCTAGTCACGGCTATCACTGTAATGTCTTAGTCACGGCTAGCACTGTAATGTCTTAGTCAAGGCTATCACTGTAATGTCTTAGTCGCGGCTAGCACTGTAATGTCTTAGTCACGGCTAGCACTGTAATGTCTTAGTCACGGCTAGCACTGTAATGTCCTAGTCACGGCTAGCACTGTAATGTCCTAGTCACGGCTAGCACTGTAATATCTCAGTCACGGCTATCGCTGTAATGTCCTAGTCACGGCTAGCACTGTAATGTCTTAGTCACGGCTATCACTGTAATGTCCTAGTCACGGCTATCACTGTAATGTCTTAGTCACGGCTATCACTGTAATGTCTTAGTCACGGCTAGCACTGTAATGTCTTAGTCACGGCTAGCACTGTAATATCTCAGTCACGGCTATCGCTGTAATGTCCTAGTCACGGCTAGCACTGTAATGTCTTAGTCACGGCTAGCACTGTAATGTCCTAGTCACGGCTAGCACTGTAATGTCTTAGTCACGGCTAGCACTGTAATGTCTTAGTCACGGCTAGCACTGTAATGTCTTAGTGACGGCTAGCACTGTAATGTCTTAGTCACGGCTAGCACTGTAATGTCTTAGTCACGGCTAGCACTGTAATGTCTTAGTCACGGCTATCACTGTAATGTCTTAGTCACGGCTAGCACTGTAATGTCTTAGTCACGGCTAGCACTGTAATGTCTTAGTCACGGCTATCACTGTAATGTCTTAGTCACGGCTAGCACTGTAATGTCTTAGTCACGGCTATCACTGTAATGTCTTAGTCACGGCTAGCACTGTAATGTCTTAGTCACGGCTATCACTATAATGTCTTAGTCACGGCTAGCACTGTAATGTCTTAGTCACGGCTAGCACTGTAATGTCTTAGTCACGGCTAGCACTGTAATGTCTTAGTCGCGGCTAGCACTGTAATGTCTTAGTCACGGCTAGCACTGTAATGTCTTAGTAACGGCTAGCACTGTAATGTCTCAGTCACGGCTAGCACTGTAATGTCTCAGTCACGGCTAGCACTGTAATGTCTTAGTCGCGGCTATCACTGTAATGTCCTAGTCACGGCTAGCACTGTAATGTCTTAGTCACGGCTAGCACTGTAATGTCTTAGTCACGGCTAGCACTGTAATGTCTTAGTCACGGCTAGCACTGTAATGTCTTAGTCACGGCTAGCACTGTAATGTCTTAGTCACGGCTAGCACTGTAATGTCTTAGTCACGGCTAGCACTGTAATGTCTTAGTCACGGCTAGCACTGTAATGTCTTAGTAACGGCTAGCACTGTAATGTCTTAGTCACGGCTATCGCTGTAATGTCTTAGTCACGGCTAGCACTGTAATGTCTTAGTCACGGCTAGCACTGTAATGTCTTAGTCACGGCTAGCACTGTAATGTCTTAGTAACGGCTAGCACTGTAATGTCTTAGTCACGGCTAGCACTGTAATGTCTTAGTCACGGCTAGCACTGTAATGTCTTAGTCACGGCTATCACTGTAATGTCTCTGTCACGGCTAGCACTGTAATGTCTCGGTCCCGGCTAGCACTGGCTGTTCGTGTGTTATGGGTTGAAGGTTTAGTGAAAGTTGTAAATTTTGTTCTATTTTGCTTGTGAGGAGCCTGTTCTTTAGTCTGATCATTCTAGGCTGGCTAAAGAAAAATGTCCTCTTTCTAGTCGAATACTTGTATTATAATATGGCCATTATTAGAATGTCACAAAGTCAGCGGCTACTGTTTTGGTCTTCATGACAATAATTATAGCAGTGTGAGTATGTTTCATCGCTTCTCTGGAGAACTTTAGGAAAAGGAGCCCCAAAATAAGGCTTTTGCTGATTGACGTTGAACATTGCAACAAACTGCTGCATCAAATGTCGTGCAAATGGTACAAGATTTTACAGCTTGCCTCAGCCTTTTCGACCAACAAACTTTTACATATCACACTGTTCACATCCGAATACGAACTATGCTTAAGTATGTGTGTGTGTGTGTTTTGTTGAATCTAACACACCATCGTCTCTCTTCTCCACGCCTACAGGATGAGCAGCAAAGAAGACAAACTGAACAGCTAGCACGAGAGAAAGCTGCCCAAGAGCGTCGTCGCCTACAAGAAGAGGAGAGACAGGCGCGCCTCGATGAAATGCACAGCAAGAAACTTGAAGCTGTGAGAACAATGTAGAATAATTTATATACATGTGTGTGTGTGTGTGTTGGGCGCATGTGTGTGAGTGTGTGTGTGTGTTGTGCGCATGTGTTTGTGTATGTGTGTATATGTGTGTGTGTGTGTGTGTGTGTGTGTGTGTGTTGTGCGCATGTGTGTGTGTGTGTGTGTGTGTTTGTGTGTGTGTGTGTGTGTGTGTGTGTTTGTGTGTGTGTGTGTGTGTGTGTGTGTGTTGTGCGCATGTGTGTGTGTGTGTGTGTGTGTTGTGCGCATGTGTGTGTGTGTGTGTTTGTGTATTGTGCGCATGTGTGTGTGTGTCCTGTCGTGCATGTACACTTAGGTATGCGTGTCGTCGGGGGGGGGGGGGGGGGGTTATCGCCCGAACGATATGCCCTTCTGATACCTCTCCCACGTACGTCCCACGTATACCAAACACAAAGCCTGAGGACAGATCATTTGTTTTTCTTCAATGAAAGACTCAAGAAGATGGCGAAGACGAAAAGAATGCGTACAACATTATAGTAGCGCCCATGCGCTCTGCAGCGCAGTCTGCACGCGCTCCGCACGTCGCCCGCGCGGATACAGCGCCACACACAACACATGCTCCGAAAGGGGACCGACCTCGTAGAGATCGCGGACAACACGTGTGTGTATACATGCTTGGTTGTGTACCTTTCCAGACACCAGTATTTATGAGGAGGCTCTGCGGATCTTGGAAGACCGGTGCATCGTGCTAGGCCTGTGTGTTTTGCTAGTCCCATTTGCATCTTTACTATACATTATGTAGATGGACATAGTACAGTTGTTGCTGCTGCTACTGCTGCAGTCCTGGAGAACATTACCATCAGTGCCATCATGTTGTCAAACCCGGTTACGATCACAGTAACCACATTCTGTGTACGGTTATGGTGTCTGTGTACGGTTATGGTGTCTGTGTACGGTTATGGTGTCTGTGTACGGTTATGGTGTCTGTGTATGGTTATGGTGTCTGTGTACGGTTATGGTGTCTGTGTACGGTTATGGTGTCTGTGTATGGTTATGGTGTCTGTGTATGGTTATGGTGTCTGTGTATGGTTATGGTGTCGGTGTACTGCTTCAAAGTTTTAAAGTGTGATTGCTGCGTACATTCACTGTACCCAGTAAACTAATTCTAGTACAAGTCATATAGTTAGTTGACAGTTAGGTGTGCTAGCACACTCTCTTAGTTACAGAATTAGTTAAGTGCATGTATTGATGCTTTTCGCTGTAGTGATGTGTGGTCAGCAAGAAGGAATATGATGAACTAGTTGAAGTGTACATCATTTACCTCTAATTAACTGTTGTTCATCATGTGTTGTGTATGACTGGATAATTTCACATTACCCATTATTCACTGGAGTACATGAGTACATAACTGATTGTGTTGTTCTGTAACTTGTTTTGCTAGGAAGAAAAATCAAAGCGAAATCGCTTAGCCATCGAGAAAGCGCGCGAAGAAAGTGCCAGAGAGAAAGCAAGGTGTGTATGTGTGTGTACATGTGTGCACATGTGCACATGGCTGCATGCACACATGTGTGTATAATATGTGTGTGTGTGTGTGTGTGTGTGTGTTCGTGTGTGTGTGTGCAAGCAAGCGAGCGCACATATGCGCACACATGGGTGTGTGTGTGTATGTGCGTGTGGCCAGCTACTTCGGTTGGTGGGTACACTTATGCCTGATGGTGTTGGGTCTGGTGCCAACGGGCTCGCCTGCTTGAAGGTGTGATGTTGTACCTGCCACCTTTGTTGGTTCCAGGGTTCATATACTTTCTATTTAAAGTATACATACCTGTTAACCATGGACTATTTCTGGCTAGATTAACTCTTATGGTTGATAAATATGGTGGTAAAGACACACCTGGCAATATGGCGGTAAACACACGCCTGCCCACACACGCTCTCTAGGCTGCAAAGTTCTGGCACAGAGCTCTCCTTCTCACCATGCGCTACTTGATGTACCAGCCTGTTATGCCGGATACCGCCAGCCATGCATCGACCAGGCGCCAGGCGCGAACTGATGGTGGTTGTGGTGAGAAGGAGAGCTCTGTGCCAGAACTTTGCAGCCTAGAGAGCGTGTGTGGGCAGGCGTATGTTTACCGCCATATTGCCAGGTGTGTCTTTACCACCATATTTATCAACCATAGATTAACTCTTGTGTAATCAATGGTGCTAGTGAAGCTTATCAGATCCACTCTGATTTAGCCACCCACACTAGTAGCAAGTATTACTGTCACTGGGGGCAGGGGTAACTACAGTTGGATCCCAGGACGGATACCCTGATGCCGTCAATCCTTTTTCTGCACCTTGTCCTCACCCACTTACTGAGGTGTGGTGAGCCCATAAGTGGGATCATCATCAAGTCCACCCAGAGTTTTGGGGATTTCAGGGGGTGTCGGCCGTTGGGCGGTTCATTAGCCAATTGAGTCATCTTTCCAAGATTCCTTTGAGTCTCTCTCCTCTCTCCCGGGGAGACCCACGTCACCAGTTTTGGCAGTGAGCAACAAGTACATGTGTGTGTGTGTGTATGTGTGTGTGTGTGTGTGTGTGTGTGTGTGTGTGTGTGTGTGTAAGTGTGTGTGTGTGTGTGTGTGTGCATGTGTGTGTGTGTATGTGTGTGTGCGTGCGTGCGTGCGTGCGTGCGTGTGTGTGTGTGTGTACATGTGTGTACACATCTATGCATGTGTTTGTAATCTACAGAGAACGAAAGAGAAGAATTGCTGCTCATGAATCTGCTAGGAAAGTCATGGCTGAAGACCTGGTGCTGAGAATTGCTACGAAGGTAGGAGTAGAAGGACGTTGTTGTTTTTGTTGTCGTCGTCGTCGTTGTGGGTGTGTGTTAGTTGCCATGTCTAACACACAGTAAAACCTGGAACTAACGACCACTCCTTGGGGCCAGAAAAAGTGGTCTTTAGTGGCAGGTGATCTTTAGTGGCAGGTGATCTTTAGTTTGTCACCACATTACCATACATGGATCCCCTTCTATGATGTGCAGTGCTACCAAATATTTTTCGCCCAAAACCAGACACCCTTCACCGCCAATTCCCCAAGGCTGGCCACATGGTGCAATTTTTTCTCCTCAGAATTTTTTTCCAGAGAATTCAAAATATTAAAATAGAAAAGGACATACCGGTACATGTAAAAGTTACTAGTAAAAAATATGGTGAAAAAGGAGAAGGATAAAATGTAACGAGCTATGACTAACTGTCCACCAATGTAACCAGATCTTAGGGACCATCGCAAAAGTTCGCAGAAGCCCCCGAAACGAAGACCGTTAGTTTCGGGCCTGACCCCCTCCCTCCCCCCTCAAACGAAACGACAGTCACAATATGGGCTTCATTATTTCACTTGGATGCTCACACATAATAATTATTATAATATACTACACAGCAGGGGTTCATAAACCCTATGAACCCCTGCTAGTACTAGTACTAGCAAGAGTCCATAAACCACGCGTTTTATGGACTCTTGGTACTAGACTACACACAGTGTACAGGCAGCCAGCTACGCGACACGCGCAGTTGCATGAATGGACTACGCGGCCTGACAAGCGATCTACGCCGGCTGTGATGGCATGCTAATCTATATCAGCTCCTACATGTCGTCAATACTTTTTTGAATTGAAGCCCGGTTTGCGATTTTCGACACCGACTCCCTCTCCCCCAAACGTATGCTCTTCGTTTCAGGGGCTTCTGCGAACTTTTGCGATGGTCCCTTATACAGTCAGCGAGTGCAACAAAATGGCACAAAACTGACAAGGAGTACTGAGACATTCGGCGACTTGACACCTAGCTCCAACACTTCTCCAAGGCGCAAACCAACAACCTTCCAACTTGGAAGGCTCAGGTTCGGAAAGGTCCAAGAGGGGAAGGAAAGCGCAACGAAGAAGAGCACAAGCTACGCCCCACAAAGAATGCCGAAAGTTACTGGATGATGACGGAACTAGTAAGACTATTGGACATACCGGCCTTACTACAACTCGACGACGTAAAGCAACAGACCACTCAACTTGGGAGGCTGAAGTTTATGTAATAGACATAGAAAGGGGGAGCCAAGCGGAGACGAATTGTGACAAACCGAAACGTCAACATCCTACTGACATCCACTATCATGTAAGTATGATGGACTTGTTATGTACAATAACAAATAGTTCCACCCGACATACGTTTCTCCGTATAGGTCATGACGGCTCATCACGTGTGCAAAGTTAATCATAACTCGTAACATTTTGTCCGCCTCCTTTTTCACCATAAGTAAAACATATCGCAAAATATCGCCCAAAATACCATGAAAATTCGCTTCGTTGTGATGGTAACCGATATGGCACCCCGAAGTTGTCATGAATTTTGTAATGCATGAGTGTGGTCACACACTGTACAGTGTGGACTCTACATGCCATCCAGGCATGTTACTTTGTACTTCCACAGCCAAGCGCTAGCCTTTTTATAAGCACATGTACACTCACACATCTTACAGTGATTTGTGCTGCCTTGAGTTGTGCTGAAAAGTGAAAATACAGGACTTCTGCATGGGAAAATACTGATCTCTGACATTTTTGGCTGCTTTTCAGACGTTTCCTTTTCGGACCGGTTTTCGGAAGAGCCTTCAAAAATCGGACAGTTTGACAGCACTGGATATGCATGTCAAAATGGAGCTAATGCCACTTCTCCTTTGAGCAGTAACATCGATCAAAGAGAAGGTTCGATACGCTCTCCCAGACGTTTACCATCATGTTTGCTTATGACAGCACTTGAAACTATGACAGGTGCAGTGCAGCCCACAGTCAAAATGAGCCTGCTTTCATTTGTTCAGCTGTAGTATCGAAAGAGTCCATTCAGGACCATGGAAAATCATCAAAATTTCAAAGGAGGAGCTTCGAACAACCTTTGATTTTCTACATCGTGGTCGCTAGTTACGGGTCAAAAATCAATCTTGGGACAAGAAAAGGCGGTCGCTGGTCACGTTCAGCAGGTAGTCGCTGGTCACGTTCAGCAAGTAGTCGCTGGTCACGTTCAGCAGGTAGTCGCTAGCCTTTTCTACTATGTGTAGTACATTTTATTGTAATTTCATGTCTTGTATGCCAAGTGCTATTGCAGCCAAGGCAATATGGGTGTGCGTACGTACAGAACTGTGACATTGCAGTGTGGATAACATGTGTGCAAATTGTGCTTATAGAATGTATGTGCAGATTTTTCAACTTCATGGCCTGCTGTGCTGTGATGCATTGATTGTTATAGCAAACCGAATCCAAGCAACGTCATAAAGAACAGCTCCACAATCGCAAAACGGTAAGCGTCTTCATGCCACATTTGCTGAGGGTTTTCATACCTTTATTAAATTTATGGAAGCCGGGGACAACAATATGAAGACTCCTCACACTGTTGTCCCCGGCGAAGGCTTGCGAATTAGATGGTTTGGAGGCAACAAAGTTGGGAATGGCCTGCGGTCCTCAGCGTTTGTTGAGTACCTCCATGAGCGTCACTGACTCACGCTGCTATCTGGTGTTCACGAGGTGTTTGTCGCGCTGGAAACGGAGTGTCTCTGTAAGTTTGTATACCTGGTGATGTTTGTGGGTGGAGAGCACTACATAAGTGGTGCTCTTCAGGCACAATCTTCCTCAGCCTACTCAAGCTCAACTGAAGAGGGGTGAATTCCCCGAAACACTGTGTATTGAGCAGGGAGTGGTGCTTTCTTGCAGGTTTGCCGAGTGGAAGGTTCGATGGACATCTTGTGTGCTCCGGATGGCAGTCGTGAGTCAGTCAAGTGAGAATTCAAGTCGGAAGGAGTAGCTCAAACTCCCACGTAGGGAGCAACGCATAATTCCCCAAGTATCGCCGAAGTCGCACCAACCTCTTCTTCTCTGTACGCAGCTCTGTGCAAGTACAGTGCTGGCCAGAGAAATCCAACCTCATGAAATCCAACCTCATGAATAAAGTAACGTCGTGTTCGAGTGCACAGATCAGTATGTGTAGTGCGAGGGCTGCGTAGTGCCCGGCGCTATTTTATTTAGGAGGTTGGATTTCACGAGGATGGATTTCATGAGGATGGATTTTTTTCTTTGTCCAGTACTGTAGTTCTGTTGACTGTAAATATGCAAAATTTCGACAGCTCTTTAATTTCAGCTATATTCGGCACCGAGACTCAAAACGCCAAATTAAAAACGCCGATGAAATTTTTCACATTGGTTTTGCTGATGTACTAGTATTAAGCCTGTGCCGAAAGTGTATCGCTGCCGAAATGGCGAAAATCGTGTAATGCTGAAATTTTGCAGCGTCAAAATTTTGTACCGTAAAGTACCCTGAGAGCGAATCACCATCTCATCCTTTCATGGTCGTATTGTGGAAACGGTGTCCTATCTATAGGTCATACGACACGAACCTTGTACACACATTGCACATTGTGCAGTCAATTCGTACTCAATTCACCTTGGAGCGGGCACGAGATCCACACAAAAACCTGCTAAGTGTGACCTAAGTACACTAAGGTTCTCACGCCAAACTAACAGTTGCACTCTGCCATACAATTTCCTTTCCCTGGTTATAAAATCAAGGTGGGACGTTCTCACGAGACAGGTGACGATTGAAAGTTGATGAGTTGTTTCATAATTTGACACCGTCATTGTTTTCAGCATGTCTCTTCAGTTGCACTTTGCTCCTTGACTGGTAACTTGTAATGGTCACTGCCTGACTTGTGCCCTACTGTTCTCTTATTGCCGTGCCACCACTATTCAGAGCGGATCTAGACAGCGTCACAGTTTTCATGAGCCATTGAATTGTCAGCCGTATGCTATTGTCAAGCGCTGTAGCTTATGCCAGGTGCACGTAAGTTCTTTCTGTCAATAATGATCCATGTTTTCCAATGTGAAGCCCGGATCAGTGACTATATCTGCTAGATGATATGAGAGGAATGAAAGAAGCACCTCATGCCCAGGCCCAGACAATCTACATGTAGGTACTACAGGTGGCAGCAGCAGCAGCAGGGCGGAAGCCAGCGAAAGGGTGCAAAGAACAGCATGTGGCCAAGCGAAAACACACAGCACACTCGTATAGATTCACACACTACGAAGAGGAGCAAGGTGTGACTTGAACGAATGCAGTGGACAATATTCTGCCTCTGCTCGTAGAGGTTCGACTGATGTTGTGACTATACACAGATTCTTGCAATTTCAAATGAAAATCACAACAGCCACGTGACACAATAGAAAAACATTCATCAGAATAGACATCAACATATTCAGGTTTATTGAAAAAGTAGTGGCACTGACAGATTGATACCTTTCTTAGGTACTGATGACATCAGCTAATTTTCACCACCAGGTGGTCTAAGTCGCATATGAATTTTGCTTTTGTGTTGCTTCCGTTCATATTTCACATTTTCCCTGACAGATTACGTCAGAAGTTTATCTGTACAGTCACTTGCAAGGTCCTCGTCATATCCATCAAGTACAGCTTGCAATGCAAGAAGCCAATGTACCTTTGGAGGACATGGTCAGTGAGTTTAGCCCTGATACTCGGGTGTTGCTTTGTCCCTGTTACCGAGATGGGGCTTTGCCCCTGTTACCAATAGAGGCTTTGTCCCTGTTACCGAGATGGGGCTTTGTCCCTGCTACCAATATGGGGCTTTGTCCCTACTACCTAGATGGAGCTTTGTCCCTGTTACCTAGATGGGGCTTTGTCCCTGTTACCGAGATGGGGCTTTGTCCCTGCTACCAATATGGGGCTTTGTCCCTACTACCTAGATGGGGCTTTGTCCCTGTTACCGAGATGGGGCTTTGTCCCTGTTACCGAGATGGGGCTTTGTCCCTTCTTCCGAGATGGGGCTTTGTCCCTGTTACTGAGATGGGGCTTTGTCCCTGCTACCAAGATGGAGGTTTGTCCCTTCTTCCGAGATGGGGCTTTGTCTCTGTTACCAAGATAGGGCTTTGTCCCTGTTCCTGAGATGGGCTTTGTCCCTGCTACCAAGATGGGGCTTTGTCCCTTCTTCCGAGATGGGGCTTTGTCTCGGTTACCGAGAAGGGGCTTTGTCCCTGTTACCGAGATGAGGCTTTGTCCCTGCTACCAAGATGGGGCTTTGTCCCTACTACCTAAATGGGGCTTTGTCTCGGTTACCTAGATGGGGCTTTGTCCCTGTTACCGAAATGAGGCTTTGTCCCTACTACCTAGATGGGGCTTTGTCCCTGTTACCTAGATGGGGCTTTGTCCCTGTTCCTGAGATGGGCTTTGTCCCTGCTACCAAGATGGGGCTTTGTCCCTTCTTCCGAGATGGGGCTTTGTCTCGGTTACCGAGAAGGGGCTTTGTCCCTGTTACCGAGACGAGGCTTTGTCCCTACTACCTAGATGGGGCTTTGTCTCGGTTACCTAGATGGGGCTTTGTCCCTGTTACCGAGATGGGGCTTTGTCCCTGTTACCGAGACGGGGATTTGTCCCTACTACCTAGATGGGGCTTTGTCCCTGTTACTGAGATGGGGCTTTGTCCCTGCTACCAAGATGGAGGTTTGTCCCTTCTTCCGAGATGGGGCTTTGTCTCTGTTACCAAGATAGGGCTTTGTCCCTTCTTCCGAGATGGGGCTTTGTCTCTGTTACCGAGAAGGGGTTTTGTCTCTGTTACCAAGATAGGGCTTTGTCCCTTCTTCCGAGATGGGGCTTTGTCTCTGTTACCGAGAAGGGGCTTTGTCTCTGTTACTTATGTGTTGCTTGTCTTTGCTTTCTAAGGACACACACACACACATACATACACACACACTCACACACACACACACTCACACACTCACACACTCATACACACACACACACACACACACACACACACACACACACACACATACACACACACACACTCACACACTCACACGCTCACACGCTCACACACTCACCCACTCACACACTCACTCACTCACACACTCACACACTCACTCACTCACACACTCACACACTCACACACTCACACACTCACACACTCATTTATCTGTGTCATTTCCCATTGTACATGTAAGCGCACATGTACGCGTATGGTATATGCAACCCTTGCTTGATAGTTAAAATGTTTGAGGATGAAAGCATGTAGTCCATACGGCTCAGATGGTCCCCAAACCAGGACTGTACCAACCGGTTGAAGGTTGCAGTCAGGAACACTGGTCTCAGCACAGTATGCCCTCCGCCTTGTTACCTGCCCTTATCCGTAACATCATTTATCGCCCCTCCCCCCGAGACACACACATCATAGCACTGTAGAAAGGGGTTGCATTTTTGTTGTTTTGCCATGTGATTATGCAATCACCATTGTGAAATGAGGGTTGCCTGCTGCTCCTCGTTGATAGTATTGAAAAAAAAAAAAAATCAAGCCCATCTGCTGCTGCTAGCTGCCAGAACTGATGCTGACACTGCGATCGCCACCTCCAACTGCTGAGGTGCCTCGTGCCTGTAGGCTGTGTAGCACCACCACACTCCACAGCTTGGTCCGCCCTGCGTTGCCCCGGCATCGTACTCTCGTACACAGGCCATGCTGCCGCATTCTCGCGTGGTGGCCTTCGTGAGTACGTCTTACACCATTTGCGTATGCCACGCGCTTATACGGCCCGTGCTGGGCCTCTCTTTTCTGTCTTCCTGCCCGCGGCCCACCTTACCTAGTGAGCTCTCGCGCCTTATTTTCCATATAAGCATGGTGGTGTCTGTTATCGTGGGTCCGATAGCCCCCGGGGACTTCGCCTTTTCCATACGTGATATGCATTTCTCCGCCATACCGCCTGTCTCTGCCTGGCACTGTACTAGTCCTTACCCCGTACCGCCTTGTTGCAGTTTTATCTTGCATGCTCGGTTAGTACTAATACTACTATGCGTTGGCTGAGACTTAGTACGCGCGCCGCGGCTGGAGCCCTTTCGTGCCACGAAAGGACCTGCTTCCTAATATAGAGACTGGGCGCCATGCCCGCGCCCTGTCTGCCGTAATCCTTGCATTAATACTACTAGCGCTACAACCTTCATGCAAATATGGGGTAGTCTCGCCTGTGGGCGTACTAGTGCTCCTGGTGCAACCTGGGCTTTCTACTAGTACGGTTGCCTGCCATTGCATGCCAGACACCCCCATTGTTGCGCGCCTAGCCACGCGCGTGGCTTTTGCCTGCTGCTCGGTTGTCCGCGATAACTACGGTTTGCCGTACGCTGCAAACCTACATGTGTATTATTCTCAAACATGTACATGTCCTGTCGTGGACATGGAAATCCAGTCAGAGGTCAAGCGGCCCCAGTGCACTGGCCATGCAGCCATGCGTTCGCATGCGATCAACATGTGCACTGTGCATGCAACGTTCTGTATGCACTGAGGGCGCCGGCCGCGGTCATTCGACCGGATTTCCATGTCCACGACAGTAGTCAGCAGTATGGCACTTCCTTCTGATCTCCCCTCCCCCCTCCCCGAACATCTCTGATCCCCCCCCCTTCTCTCACCAAATATCTCTGATCCCCCCCCCCCCCCCCCCCAACATCTCTGATCCCCCTCCCCCCTCCCCCGCACACACCGAACATCTCTGATCCCCCCCCCCCCACACACACACACTGAACATCTCTTATCCTCTCCCCCAAATATCTATGATCCCCCCCCCCCCCCCGCCAAAAAACATCTCTGATTCCTTCCCATAGGCTGTCAAAGTGCCTATGTTACGCTGCCTGAAAATTCGTAGTTACGAGGCCAAGTTGTGACAAACAAAGTCGCGTCACCTGCGCTTGTCGTGTTTCCAATGGTCACAGCATCACTTTGACTGGGGCGAGCTGGTGCAAGATCGCGAGTTCAAATTTTGTTTTACTTCAAGAAGTTTCTCCTTTGCCCTCAAGCCATTGTGCAGTGTTTTCCTGCTGAGTGGTCACCAGCACCTGAGAGATAGGAGTTCTGATTTTCGCTTGCCACTGGACAAGGAAACGAGCCCAGAGTTGGTTGGTCTCGGAACTACACTGGGAAATCAGCAGTCGCGGCGATAGAAATAACAGAGACACCCATCATCGCTTCTTGGCCGGCGACTACATGTAAAGCCGAACGACAGTACAGGCACAGCAGTGGCCAAGGAAAAAATGAGCTGCGGCTTCTCTTTCTCTATAAAGCGAAAACTACAAGCTCGGCGACAAGTAACAGTTTATTTGAAATAAATAATCTCGCTCGCGTGCTCCTCAGTCAAAATCATGCTGTAGCTGTGTTCACTGCATGCTGCTGGCACTGGACACACGACAAGTGCAGGTGACGCGACTTTTGTTTGTCACCACTTGGCCAAGTAACTACGCGTTGTCAAGAAGCTGTGACGCGACTTTTGTTTGTCACCACTTGGCCAAGTAACTACGCGTTGTCAAGAAGCTGTGACGTCAGACTTCGACGGCCTATTGAACACCTCTGACCCCCTCCCACCCGGTGGCACCCAGACAAAAAACACATATCTGATCTCCCAACATCTTTGATCTCCCCCCCCCCCCCCCCACACACACACATACACATGCACCATTCTTAATCTCCCCACCCCCATTTCCCTTGTCATTACAATAATATCATTGTTCGTATTTTCACGCAGGAGGAATTCTCCAGCCGATCTATTGTGGAAGATGAGAAAGTTTCTTGCCTTGCACAACCTAACAGCTGTGATCAATTGTGGCAACAGCATCGTGATGTTAGTCATGATAAACGTCTCAAACGCCTGAAAGCCAAGTTGACAAGAAGGTGAGTAATCCAAACAACAGTACATGTACTGCTCAATGAAATCTGCTTGAGTCACTCGGGTAAGCGCCGGGCATTGCGCAGCCCTCTGGACCTGCCAACACTGGGCTGCGAAGTGGTGCAAGGCGTAAATTAACCTGACTCCCCCGATCGGATTTCACTGTAATTAATTGCCATTCTGAAACATATTAGCGCACGAAGAGACGAAGTCAGTTGTAAACTGTCGCCAATGGTGGTTTCCGAGATATACCAATTTCTGCACATTTGAAAGCTTGGTGTTGTTGTGGATGTTGAATCAAACATATCAAACACATCAATACACTCTGGGTACGGTAGAACATGTTGAATCAAACACATCAATACACTCTGGGTACGGTAGAACATGTTGAATCAAACACATCAATACACTCTGGGTACGGTAGAACATGTTGAATCAAACACATCAATACACTCTGGGTACGGTAGAACATGTTGAATCAAACACATCAATACACTCTGGGTACGGTAGAACATGTTGAATCAAACATATCAATACACTCTGGGTACGGTAGAACATGTTGAATCAAACACATCAATACACTCTGGGTACGGTAGAACATGTTGAATCAAACACATCAATACACTCTGGGTACGGTAGAACATGTTGAATCAAACACATCAATACACTCTGGGTACGGTAGAACATGTTGAATCAAACACATCAATACACTCTGGGTACGGTAGAACATGTTGAATCAAACACATCAATACACTCTGGGTACGGTAGAACATGTTGAATCAAACACATCAATACACTCTGGGTACGGTAGAACATGTTGAATCAAACACATCAATACACTCTGGGTACGGTAGAACATGTTGAATCAAACACATCAATACACTCTGGGTACGGTAGAACATGTTAAATCAAACACATCAATACACTCTGGGTACGGTAGAACATGTTGAATCAAACATATCAATACACTCTGGGTACGGTAGAACATGTTGAATCAAACACATCAATACACTCTGGGTACGGTAGAACATGTTGAATCAAACACATCAATACACTCTGGGTACGGTAGAACATGTTGAATCAAACACATCAATACACTCTGGGTACGGTAGAACATGTTGAATCAAACACATCAATACACTCTGGGTACGGTAGAACATGTTGAATCAAACACATCAATACACTCTGGGTACGGTAGAACATGTTGAATCAAACACATCAATACACTCTGGGTACGGTAGAACATGTTGAATCAAACACATCAATACACTCTGGGTACGGTAGAACATGTTGAATCAAACACATCAATACACTCTGGGTACGGTAGAACATGTTGAATCAAACACATCAATACACTCTGGGTACGGTAGAACATGTTGAATCAAACACATCAATACACTCTGGGTACGGTAGAACATGTTAAATCAAACACATCAATACACTCTGGGTACGGTAGAACATGTTGAATCAAACATATCAATACACTCTGGGTACGGTAGAACATGTTGAATCAAACACATCAATACACTCTGGGTACGGTAGAACATGTTGAATCAAACATATCAATACACTCTGGGTACGGTAGAACATGTTGAATCAAACACATCAATACACTCTGGGTACGGTAGAACATGTTAAATCAAACACATCAATACACTCTGGGTACGGTAGAACATGTTGAATCAAACATATCAATACACTCTGGGTACGGTAGAACATGTTGAATCAAACACATCAATACACTCTGGGTACGGTAGAACATGTTGAATCAAACACATCAATACACTCTGGGTACGGTAGAACATGTTGAATCAAACATATCAATACACTCTGGGTACGGTAGAACATGTTGAATCAAACACATCAATACACTCTGGGTACGGTAGAACATGTTGAATCAAACACATCAATACACTCTGGGTACGGTAGAACATGTTGAATCAAACACATCAATACACTCTGGGTACGGTAGAACATGTTGAATCAAACACATCAATACACTCTGGGTACGGTAGAACATGTTGAATCAAACATATCAATACACTCTGGGTACGGTAGAACATGTTGAATCAAACATATCAATACACTCTGGGTACGGTAGAACATGTTGAATCAAACATATCAATACACTCTGGGTACGGTAGAACATGTTGAATCAAACATATCAATACACTCTGGGTACGGTAGAACATGTTGAATCAAACACATCAATACACTCTGGGTACGGTAGAACATGTTGAATCAAACACATCAATACACTCTGGGTACGGTAGAACATTGCCATTAAAAGTTAACACACAGGTTTTTTTTCATACAGGTAGCTTCGTAGAACTTGACATTGGAGTGCCCTTGGTGGCACCTTGCTCAATTGCAAACTTGTTTAGGAGCTTCGCTGTTTCTTCCTGAGTTTTCGTATGTTCTGCCATAATCTTTGTGAGATCTATAATCTTCACTGGTAGTTGACTACTGTTTTTGGTGCTAGACTGTGAAGCAGCTAACCCTTGTAGTTGTGCAAATTGATCATTACATCCCGTTTTTATCTCTGCCACCTTAACCACGTAGTCCTCGTCATGCTTCTTTTTCTCTTTGTCTCCCTTTCTTGATCATAGTAGAGAATACATTGCAGAAACCAACGGTAGAGTGGTAGCTTCGGTAGAGCGTTGCTGCAATAGCTTCACTTCAGCTTGGAGAACCTTGCGTTTAGTCTCAGTTGCTTGGGCGTTGACCGGGTCCGTTTCCGCCATGGCTCACCGTCTATAAATCGTCCTTGTCTCAATTTTGCGCCATTACTGAAATCAGCATAGGGTTCGGCACCATAAATATCGCCAATGCGACTACCTGGTAAAACTCACGCCACTAATTTGCTTTCTTCACACAAACTTGGACTCGTACAACACGACCGAGACGAGGTCGGATCTTTGTGTTTTGAAAGAGAATAGTGATTTGGAGTGTGCGTGCCAAATTTATATGGCTAAAGATCGCACATGCCTGATATGCGCTTACCATGCTGTACAGCATGCCTACAGTCATTCAGCATATGGACTAGAAAAGGCAAGGTCAGAAAAATAGGCGCTAGCAGTAAAATTGATCTCACATTTAAAATTACGGAAAAGATACGATCGCGCTCGCGACATAAACCTGATGAGGCCTTTCGTACCATTACTTATAAGATCAGTACATGGTGAGAATGTGACGAAGTACAACGATGTCAATTTTCACAGCATATTGGTGGTAAACTTGTGATGAAACGTACACAGTTTGAATGATAGTATGAGTTGCGCTTAGAAATGAGCATTGCCATACACGTATGTTGTATACTAGCTATCGAATGGCTTTTAAATGTCTCTCTCTCTCTCTCTCTCTCTCCCTCTCTCTCTCTCTCTCTCTCTCTCTCTCTCTCTCTCTCTCTCTCTCTCTCTCTCTCTCTCTCTCTCTCTCTCCCTGTCTCTTTCTACGTTTTCAACCTGCTTAACCTGGCATAGTGTACGGGAAATGAAGCAACCACATAGCAGTGATGGCAAAGTGAATGGATGTTTCATTTATGACCAGCAGTAAGTTGTTCAATAACTTGGGGTTTGGGGACGCATGTTGACCTGGTTTGCACTGTGCGTGTTTGCACTGTGCGTGTTTGTGTGTGTTTGGTATAATAGTACTACTTGTACTGCGAATAATCTCACATACCACCACTGCAAATATTCTCAAGCACACTGCAACTACAAATGATCTTAGTCACCCTGCCACCATTACACCTAGTCCGTATTGAACCAGTTTATACAATTATATTATGAAGACCAAGAGAGCTGATGATGGTAACTATGGTGATATTTTGTTGCTGGAACTCAGACTGCAGTGCCAGTTACTGAAATGCCAACACTTGTTCGAGAGCTGTACAGCTTTTATTGTATTGCCCTCTGGGGGCAGAAAGTGCTCGAAGTGGTACATCACAAGATGGTAGCGTACTTAAAGGAGAAGTTAAGCCTAAAATCAAATTTTCACCTGTTGTAGTCTTCGGGGTGCTGAGTCGGATGGTCTTGGTCCGAGGAAGCTGAGACGCTCCCTTCCTCCTTTATTCCCAATCGAACTGGCGCACTTCCACCGAAACTGGGTGACTGCGCCCTACTAGATGGGGATTTGTATGCAAAATGTCACTAAAAGCGCCGTTTCGTTCTTATAAAAGCACGGATGACCGCGATTGGCCCATATGTTGTAGTCTTTTGGACGCTGAGTCGACTGGTTTTGGTCGGAAAAGGCTGCAATGCAGTGTTCGGGCCTTATTCCCAATCGAACATGGTTGAACAACTGGTCACGTGCTTCTGCGTACACTAGAGAGACACTAGTCACCTGATCACTGTGCCTGCAGGGTACAACTTACAGCCTGTTGGGCCTATTTTGGGTGCATTCCTGTCACTCGAGTTGAACTCGAGTTGAACCTTGGTGTGAAAGTTGTCGCCTGCTGGCGCGGTGACCAGGTAACTTGGGGACGCAGGAGCACGTGACCGCTTGTTCAACCATGCTCGATTGGGAATACGGGACGAACGCTGCATCGCAGCATTCTCGGACCAAAACCAGTCGACTCAGCGTCCAAAAGACTACAACATATGGGCCAATCGCGGTCATCCGTGCTTTTATAAGAACGAAACGGCGCTTTTAGTGACATTTTGCATACAAATCCCCATCTAGTAGGGCGCAGTCACCCAGTTTCGGTGGAAGTGCGCTAGTTCGATTGGGAATATAGGAGGAAGGGAGCGTCTCAGCTTCCTCGGACCAAGACCATTCGACTCAGCACCCCGAAGACAACAACTGGTGAATATTTGATTTTAGACTTAACTTCTCCTCTTAACTGTGGCCAATGGCTTGTCATGGTTTTCTATTCTTATTGATATTCTCCTCAGCTCCAAGTTGAGCAGATGGTTGAAGCTAATGGAGGATCACTGTGGAAGGAATGCAAGTCAATCTTTTCCACATCTCAGCCAACTGCAATCCAAAACAGGCTGTGTTCAACATTGTGTAGGAGATAAGGAGATTAAACAGATGATAAGTTTGATGTCCTGGTTCATGAAGACCTCACTAATCAGCTCAACTTCAGTGCCATCATCAACAACAACAGCAGCAGAAGCAGCAAGTCCGACCACTGCTACAAGCAGCGCTACATTTGAAAAGGTACACAAGGAAAATGTTTGTTTTCTTTCGCTGCAGTGATGTGGACTCATGGCTGGTGAATGGAGTTTCACTGAATTCACTGACCTGGGCCCTGCATGTAGATCCGCAAGTCTTAGTCTTCCACAAGCTGTTGCTGTAGCTGCTGCTGCTGCTGCTGCTTCTTCTGCTGCTGATGTTAGTGCTCCTGCTGCTAATGTTAGTGCTGTAGCTGCTGCTGATGTTAGTGCTGCTGCTGCTAATGTTAGTGCTCCTGCTGCTAATGTTAGTGCTGCTGCTGCTGCTGATGTTAGTGATGCTGCTGCTGATGATGATGTTGGTGATGCTGCTGCTGCTGATGATGTTGGTGATGCTTCTGCTGATGTCAGTGCTGCTGCTGCTGCTGATGTTAGTGCTGCTGCTGATGATGTTGGTGATGCTGCTGATGATGTTAGTGCTGCTTCTGCTGATGTCAGTGCTGCTGATGATGTTAGTGCTGCTTCTGCTGATGTCAGTGCTGCTTCTGCTGATGTCAGTGCTGCTGCTGATGATGTCAGTGCTGCTGCTGCTGATGTTAGTGCTGCTGATGATGTTGGTAATGCTACTGATGATGTTAGTGCTGCTTCTGCTGATGTTAGTGCTGCTGATGATGTTAATGATGCTTCTGCTGATGTTAGTGCTGCTGCTGCTGATGTTAGTGCTGCTGCTGCTGATGTTAGTGCTGCTGCTGCTGATGTTAGTGCTGCTTCTGATGGTAGTGCTGCTTCTGCTGATGTCAGTGCTGCTGCTGATGATGTCAGTGCTGCTGCTGCTGATGTTAGTGCTGCTGATGATGTTGGTGATGCTACTGATGATGTTAGTGCTGCTTCTGCTGATGTTAGTGCTGCTGATGATGTTAGTGATGCTTCTGCTGATGTCAGTGCTGCTGCTGCTGATGTTAGTGCTGCTGCTGCTGATGATGATGTTAGTGCTGCTGCTGCTGATGTTAGTGCTGCTGCTGATGATGTCAGTGCTGCTGCTGATGATGTTAGTGCTGCTTCTGCTGATGTCAGTGCTGCTGCTGATGATGTTAGTGCTGCTGCTGATGATGTTGGTGATGCTGCTGATGATGTCAGTGCTGCTGCTGATGATGTTGGTGCTGCTGCTGCTGATGTTGGTGCTGCTGCTGCTGATGTTAGTGCTGCTTCTGCTAATGTTAGTGCTGCTTCTGCTGATGTTAGTGCTGCTTCTGGTGATGCTGATGCTGTTATTATTGTTTCTGCTGCCGCTACTGCTACTGTTGCTGGAATTGCTGCTATTGTGGAGACAGCTACCATTGCAATGGTCACAGCAATAACTGGTATATTCAACTTGTAATTTCTGGGTTTTGTTTGCTTCAGAGGCAGTCGCACATACCTGCGCTACACATGTACAATGTTGTCAGTCAGGTGTATGCAATGATGACATCAACTCTACCCATTACCATACGGCTATTATTCCATATGTCTTCGTACAAGTGCCAGTATATGGAACAGCATGGACAGCTGCTAGTCGCACATCTCGAGTAAGTGCAGAAAGTCTTTTGCAACTGATTTTGCATGACCCCAAAGTTAATTCAGGTGTTTTTATGCATTCAGCCAATTTTTCTTCAGTCCTCCCTTTCCATGTACCCGAAACAAAGGAATTTTGAATTTTTTTCCCTTTCTTTGTTGTTTACCTTTTGTGGGGTACGCTCTACCCTACCTTGCGTGTACAGCACTATGTTTAGCCAGGACCCGAGATACTTTGTCCATCTTTCTATCTATCTGTCTGTCCGTCTGTCCGTCCGTCCGTCCGAACGTCCGTCCAAACGTCCGTCCGTCCATCCGTCCATCCGCCCACCCGTCCGTCCGCCCGTCCGTCCGTCCATCCGTCCGTCCATCTATCTATCTTTCTATTTATCTATCTACAGTGGACCCTTCATAATCCAGCACCATTTGTGCTCCGGAAATTCTGCTGGGAGGGTGCTGGATTAAATAATCTGTTTTACTGCTGCAATGTACATGAAGAGGTCATTTTGGTTTCTAAACATTGTGGTGGTTTATAGAGGATGCTGGTTATAAAGTGCTGGATTGAAGAGGATGTTGAGTCACCTCCATTGAAGAGGGACGACTGTATCTATCTAACAAGTTCTCTCTCTCTCACTCTCTCACTCTCACTCACTCGCTCACTCACTCGCACACACACATACTCTCTCTCTCTCTCTCACACACACACACACACACACACACACACTCTCACTCACTCACTCACTCTCTCTCTCACTCTCTCTCTCTCTCACTCTCTCTCTCTCTCTCTCTCTCTCTCTCTCTCTCTCTCTCTCTCTCTCTCTCTCTCTCTCTCTCTCTGTGTGTGTGTGTGTCTCTCTCTCTCTCTCTCTCTCTCTCTCTCTCTCTCTCTCTCTCTCTCTCTCTCTCTCTCTCTCTCTCTCTCTCTCTCTCTCTCTCTCTCTCTCTCTCTCTCTCTCTCTCTCTCTCTCTCTCTCTCTCTCTCTCTCTCTCTCTCTCTCTCTCTCTCTCTCTCTCTCTCTCTCTCTCTCTCTCTCTCTCTCTGTCTCTCTCGCTCTCTTACTATGGTTGTGTATAGATTAATGGAGCACTGCACCAGTATGCTGGTACAAATCTTCGCACTCGCAGCAAGTGGCCAGAGAAATGTACAGAGCACAGCATGTGATCAACAACCCAAGCAAACCGATCAGCACATGAAGTGCACAGGCAACTACCTTGCTGATCATATACTCTTTGATCGCAGTTTTGTAAAGTTTATCAAGCATTTCTCCGAGCTGCTACAGGTAACTGTCATATTTACTATTGTCCTGTTACGGTATAGATCAGAGAAATTTATTATCTGCGAGATGCGTAAATGTCAATGTATGCCCCACACTTCTATGAGCTAGAGTGTGTTTTGTTAGTTTACGCTCAAACCAAAAAACTCAAATTCACGAACCCTGATAATAACAATAGACGACTTTCATCATCTGAATAAGAATGTGCAATCACAGGCATCAAAACCTCCTGGGTTGAGTACTATGATCTCATTGGTTTTGTTATTCTATCTCACTACACAAATTGAAGTATGCTATTCTTGCTTGCTGAGTACAGCTTTGTGTTGAAGCAGTTCTGAGCACACTTTCAAAATGTACGTTTGCGTCTACACAGTTATGTTATGTTTGACTGTTACTGCTGCTGCTGCTGCTGCTGCTGCTGCTGCTGCTGCTGATAATGCAGGTGATTCTGTATGCTCATGGACAGCAATCTTCACAGTCATCTAGTCATGCTACGACTGCAGCAGCAGCAACCACATCAACAACAACAGCCACACCAACAACAGCAATAGCCCTGGGTAGCAGCAGCAGCAGCAGCAACAGTTCTCTCCCTGCAGGCAGTGGTAATCGTGCTACCAGTGCCTGTTGCAGCGGTGGTGGCATTGGTAGTGGTGGCATTGGTAGTGGTGGCATTGGTAGTGGTGGCATTGGTAGTGGTGCTGGTAGTGGTGCTGGTAGTGCGGCTGGTAGTGCTGCTGGTAGTGAGTTGCTCACGTTGACTGAGCTACAGACACACACTCTGTGTAATCAATGGAATATTGACAGCAAGCAATGTGTTAGTGTTATGGATGTATTACAGAGACTTGTCATGCTGCATATCACAGCTCTTAATGCATGCTGGCCCACCGCCACCGCCACCGCCACTGCCACTACAGCAGCTGATAGAACAGCACCACACCCTGATCACGTTAAGCAGTGTCAGCTAATTGCAAAGTAAGTCATGATACACGTAGTATTTAATTTACACGGGTACTTTTTTGTATAGAAGCCTAGCTTAAAAAAAAATAGAACTCTGGTTCACAGCAAATAGGCTGTCATCACACTACGGTACAAAGTGCTGCGTTTACGTCCGCGTTGGGAGTTTTTCGTCGGTTGTCATGATGATCCATGTACGGAGTAAAAACAGGAGCAGAGGAAACGGGAAGCGTAGACGTGGGAGGGGGGGGGGGGGGTATACGACTTTTTGGATGAACATGCGTATGTCCCCCAGTCTTTTCCAGGCGACCTCGTACGTGCGTTTTTATTTTCAAATTTCTCCAAAACGTGATGGCATGTACGTGTCAAGAACTGTGCCTGTCTGATGACACGACCACCAGTTTTGGATTTTTCACAGTAGATGTAGACGTAAACGGGAGTCAGTGAACATAGTGTGATGACGGCCTTACAGAAGGTTGGTTCATAGAGAAGTCTGTTTTGCAAAATAGCCCCCCCCCCCCCACACACACACACACATTCAGATCGGCTTCTACAGGAGTAAAGGTAGATTCTATACGCAACTTACTCACTCTTTGGAGAGAACAGTTTGGTTGGTGGGTTCACTATTATGTGTGTGTGTTGAGTACTATTATGTGTGTGTGTGTGTGTGTGTGTGTGTGTGTGTGTGTGTGTGTGTGTGTGTGTGTGTGTGTGTGTGTGTGTGTGTGTGTGTGTGTGTGTGTGTGTGTGTGTGTGTGTGTGTGTGTGTATGTTGAGTACTGTGTACTGTGTATGTAGTTGCTAAGCGAGAAACTCGGAGTCGCGACAAACTCTTAAACCTGTGTAGTACATTTGTGTGTATGTGTGTTTATGTCACGGTATGTGTGAATGTAGTTATAATATGTGTGTGTGTGTGTGTGTGTGTGTGTGTGTGTGTGTGTGTGTGTGTGTGTGTGTGTGTGTGTGCCTGTACGTGCTCATTTTGATGCGTGTGTTTGCGTGTGTTTGCATGTGTGGGTGTGTGCGTGCGTGCTTACATTCGTGCATGGGTGCGTGCACGCGTGCATGCTTGCATGTGTGTGTGCGTGTGTGTATGCTTGCATGCGTGCGTGCGTGTGTGTATGTATTCATGATGGGCATGTGATGGATATGGCTGTACAGCTGCATTGTTGGTTGTGGTTTACTAAGCTGTGTGGAGGCAATTCTTCTCAAGCCGTCCATAACAATGCAGCTTCGTAGTGGCGAGCAGCGTTCTTCTCTCCACTCACGTATTGGCAAGAAGTGCAGTGGTGATGTCATCGACGACATTATCCATCATGCTGTCAATGAGTGCAGCTGTGTGTTCCTTGTCTACAACATAGCACATACGTTCAGTGCTTTTAGCAGCAGGTATGTTGCTGCTGCATGTTCTACAAGACACATAATTATTATGTGATGATGTTCCCAATTTTTCATGTTGCATTGTTCAGAGTTCTAGCCAAAGGCGAGAGGGGAGGAGAGGAGGGGGGTGCATTTCTGGTAAGTATCTATGAATGACATTGTATGTGTTTGTATGTGCATGTGTGCTATATACCCCCGCCCAGAGATTCATCGTCGTCTCCAGCATTGTCACTTGTGTTATCAAGTTTCACGAGCACTCATGCAGCAGGTGAGTGCATTACAGCATGACAGTATTATATCAAACATTACATCATTATATCAAACATTACATCATTATATCAAACATTACATCATTATATCAAACATTACATCATTATATCAAACATTACGTCATTATATCAAACATTACATCATTATATCAAACATTACATCATGCATTGCATCAGGCTTTGTCTCTGCAGATCACGTCGGAGCTCAACGTTTTGTTCATATGCCAGATTCGCCACTATGAAAAAACCTCTTGTTTCAGTTAGAGAGCCGTGCTCAACCCATCCATCGCCTTTGACTGGGGCGGCCCATCCAAAGTCAGGACACATGTTTCCTATCCAAGATGGTTCTGCTTGGGGTGCAATTAATCTTTGCGCAAATTGGGAATAGAACCTGAGGCTTATGTCTCCAGTTGAGTCCACGCGGACAAACAATAGTTTTGTATGAGCACTGGTATCTGTCTTTACTACTCTGTGTGCGTGTATACGTGTGTATGTGTGTGTGTGTGTCTGTCTGTCTGTATGTATGTCTGTCTGTCTGTCTTTCTGTTTGTTTGTCTGTCTGTCTGTTTGTCTGTCTGTCTGTCTGTCTGTCTGTCCGTCTGTCTGTCTGTCCCTCTATCTGTCTGTCTGCACATTATGTGTGTACGGTGTCTGTCTATCTGTGTGTATGTGTGTGTGTGTGTGGGGGGGGGGTGTATGTGTGTGTGTGTGTGTGTGTGTGCGTATGTGTGCGTGTGTGCGGGCATGTGTTTAACACAGGACTGGTCACATTTCTCTACGGTGTGTTTCTCATTGATGGCTCCCCCAAGAAGTCACGGAGTGAACCTAGATCATTATTGCTATGGCAATGTCGTTTGGCAACATTGGTGTTTCGCTCACTGATCATGTGGGCAGTACTTGATGTAACTGAATGGCAGGTATGTGGATTGTAGAAAGTCAGCATATTGTATTTCAGTGATATTGAAGACATGTAGTTTCTCATGATTTCTTAGCCATGTCTTCTAATGGTGGAGGTGAGAGGCTATGTCTTACGATCAAATGCCTCACCCTCACTGCTAGGCGCTGCTGCATAATACCACTGGGTTATTGCGGGTGTTAGCGGCCGTCGTGAGCGTTACATTTCATGTCACCTGTAAAGTATCCAGGTAGGTTGTCCTGACAACACTAGACACCACTACCATGACTACGGACTGACTCTAGCTAGGACTTGGCTGCATAGACACCACTACCATGACTACGGACTGACTCTAGCTAGGACTTGGCTGCATAGACACCACTACCATGACTACGGACTGACTCTAGCTAGGACTTGGCTGCATAGACACCACTACCATGACTACGGACTGACTCTAGCTAGGACTTGGCTGCATAGACACCACTACCATGACTACGGACTGACTCTAGCTAGGACTTGGCTGCATAGACACCACTACCATGACTACGGACTGACTCTAGCTAGGACTTGGCTGCATAGACACCACTACCATGACTACGGACTGACTCTAGCTAGGACTTGGCTGCATAGACACCACTACCATGACTACGGACTGACTCTAGCTAGGACTTGGCTGCATAGACACCACTACCATGACTACGGACTGACTCTAGCTAGGACTTGGCTGCATAGACACCACTACCATGACTACGGACTGACTCTAGCTAGGACTTGGCTGCATTTCAAGAAAGCATGTGACAACTTTACACAGGACTTGCTCGTCGAAGTTGTGCGCACAAATTCCAGCCCAAGATTACCTCACTCCTGCGTTTGCTCTCGGCACAGTAGCGTATCCGGCTGGCATTAATACCGATCCGCCAAGGTATGCTAGTAGTCCAAGATGACACGCTATCCCCTCTTCTGTTCTTCTCAGAAGCCTTGCTTTGAATCCAATATCCAATAGAAATGGCCTAGGGCACGTATGCGCGCTTCAGTGGACTAACATTGTATTTTCCAGCAGTTTGCTACAAGCATGAGGTGAAGTTGATAGCCGAATAGCCGTCGTTGCTAGTACGCACCCCACTTAATGGTCCACTTTGTATTTGTATTGGGTGCTGGGAAAGCAATTACAATGGAGCTTTTCCCGGCAAAGTGTGCCAACTTGCAAGATTGCTGGTCCTGATGGTGCTGTTGGTCGTCATGGTGATCATGATGATTCCTATCAGCCAGCGCTGTGTGACTGTCACTGTGTGGATCAGACTCAGGCCAGCGCCAGCGCCAGCGCCAGCGCCAGCGCCAGCGCCAGCGCCAGCGCCAGCGCGATTGCCTCTTTAGTGGATGGCTCCATGTGGGCTTATCTTGGCATAAGGCGAGTTTTTTTTTGGTGCGGTGGACCTCCCTCTAAACTTTAAAACCACTGCTTCGATTCATGTAGTGTTTGCTTTTCTCCTGCTGCAGCTCATATTTGGCATTGCAGTGGTCTTTGTAGAAAAGAAAAAGAAAAGGGGTGGGGGTGTTTTTGGTGCAGTAGAGCAATCTTTCAGGGTACCCACTACCAGAGAGTTCAGTAGTTGATTGCTGCTCGTGACGCACATCACTGCCTGCCGGAAAACTTTCTCATGCTTTAAACTCATACGACATTCCAGTGTGGTCTTATGGCTTACCGATATGCATAATTCTCGTAACTCTCTTTCTCTCTCCCAGTTAAGAGAAGAACCCACACGCTCTCTTCCATTAACACTGCAATACTTCAACTCATTTCACAATGATTATTACAACATTTCGGCAAATTGACTTCATCAGGTTCACAATGATGTGCAAGTTTTCGAACAAGTATTGATAAAGCCACGGCCAATTCCCCTGTCAGTAAGAGCTAGGTTTGAGCAGCAGCGCGATAAGAATTCAGCTAATAGCGCTAATATAGACTATCAGTGGATGGGACTACAGCTGAGGTAAAAAAAACCCACACACACACATTATTCAGCGCTGAATGTCATGATGATCAGACAATAAGCGAGTGGCGATGCAAATTAAAGCAATGACCACGCAGCGTTAGTGTTTATCTTCGGAGCCAACTTTCTGATCTCTACAGCCTCCCGCAATTTCCTGCTAACCCCGAGTGAGGACTGATACTGCTGTGAAGGCGCCATCTCGTAGTCCCAATCTCCGGTGCGAATGCTTGTTCTCTCTCTCTTATTGTTTTCATGCTGATATTATGATTGTATTGTTCCGACGGTTGCTGTTGCTGTTTTCCTTGTGCAGAGTGTGCTTGGAGCTGAGGGTATGGCATTGCAAGTCAGACATGTTGTCAATACACTCTTGAAGTTAGTAGAGCCTCTGCTGTCTGCTGTCTGCTGTCTGCTCTCAGCTCTCTGCTTTGCCTTACCCTATTCTGACACACTCTGCTCTGTCTTACCCCATTCTGACACACTCTGCTCTGCCTTACCCTATTCTGACACACTCTGCCTTACCCTATTCTGACACACTCTGCCTTACCCTATTCCGACACACTCTGCCTTACCCTATTCCGACACACTCTGCCTTACCCTATTCTGACACACTGTGCTCTGCCTTACCCCATTCTGACACACTCTGCCTTACCCTATTCTGACACACTCTGCCTTACCCTATTCTGACACACTCTGCCTTACCCTATTCTGACACACTCTGCCTTGCTCTGCCTTGCTCTGGTTCACTCTGCTTTACTTTGTTATAGCATTATACTGGTCAATGCAATAGGGGTGGGGGGGGGGGGAGAAACTACACAATGGAACAAGAACAGCACAGAGGAAAAACTTGTATGCAGTGAATACTGGTTAACCCACCAAGTGTAGTCTGTCCATAGGTATCTGTCATGGCTGCCATGGCTGTCCTATTCCCATGTATTCCGTTTAGTGTTTTTTGGTCCGCCTTGATCTGTAGCATTTAGATCTTGTTTGTTAGCATTGCTACATGTATAAGAGAAAATCTGTGGGTGTACATCCATTGCATGTGTGGATGTGTGTGCTTCTCTTCTGACGGAATGCGTGTGTGTGTGTGTGTGTGTGTGTGTGTGTGTATGTGTGTATGCATGTGTGAGTGTGTGTGTGAGTGTGTTTTTGCATGTGTGTGTGTGTGTGTGTGTGTGTGTGTGTGTGTGTGTGTGTGTGTGTGTGTGTGTGTGTGTGTGTGTGTGTGTGTGTGCGGGTGTGTGCGCGCGCGTGCGAGCGTGCGTGTGTGTACGTGTGTGTACATGTGTATTTAGATATACCCAGTGTTGTGATGAAGGCGATGATGAAGCAATGGAGGAACTAGTTGGAACTATTCTGACAATGCTAGTCTTGTTTGTGAAG